ACGAGATTCTTGAACTGCTAGCAAATATGTGTTGTTATTACTTACATATGTATTATTCCCAAGCAATGTTGGTGCTAATAAGTCATTTGAAGATACATTCCTTTTACACATTTTAGTCTTTGAAAAAATGTATATTAATTGTCAAAGGCAGTTAATACTGTAGATTTATATCCGTGAAAAAAACCCCCTATCTTTAGTACAGACAAAAGACTAGTTATTTCTGGTATTATTCCAGTAGTCTATCTTCTTCTTCACCTAAAGACACTACTGCTTAAACTATACTTCAGTTGTTTTACATATGGGTGAGCGAAACAATGATTAACTTATTTAAAATCTCAATAGATTAATATTCCTGTCCCAAAACATATTTATTATTTTTGATATTACTGCTGTTTTGGTTTCCTTCCCTCCCTTCTTCCCTTCCTGCCTCCCTTCCTTCCTTCTTTCCTTCCTTCTCTGTCTCCTCTTCTCTCTCACTTTCACACATCTTCTCACTTTCTCTCCTTAACAGTCAGAACATCACAGCAAGGGCAAGAGTACCAAACAAAACAACTCCTCCCCAGCCCTCCCAGCCAAATCCTCTCCTCTGTGATTTAATTTTTCATTCCTTTTTTCATATTATCATATTTTCATATTTTCATATTTTTCATATTTGTTTTAGCATTCAGTTATGCTAAATGCAGAAGGGAAAAGGTAAAAAGGAGATATTTTGCAGTATTTTGCATCTTTGATTCAACTTGTTTATCTTTGGATTATAGAAGAAGGCAGATGTCTAAACAATATTAGAATGTATTGTCTTTACATCTGAAATCCAAAAGGAAAACAGAGTGTAGGCCAACAGCAGGTTCTTAAATACAGTACCAGATGTTCAGAAAAAAATATCAAATTAACAATTTATGAAATAAACAAATAAAGCTCAAAACATATTGTGCATTTCCGTCAGAAAAGTTATGTTTTATCAATTATTCTGGCTTTAATTTTCAAACTCCTGAATGAACTGAAGATGGTATCACCAAGCCAAAAAATTCCTACAGGTCTTTCTTCGCATTGTGCAGAAATTCTTAAAAAAAAAATCAAATAACCAACAATATCTAGTTCTATATTGATTTGACCCTGCAAAGTACTGAGCATCTCCTTCACCATGAATTCACTGGGAATTGTGGACACTCCATGTCTTTTGGGATCAGCTTCCATATTAATAATGCTACAAAAGCAAGCCTACTCAAAAAAACTTATAAACAGTTACATTAAACTATGGTGTTCTTTGGTCTTGTTTTTTCCACTTAGAGAACCTGCATTTTTTAAAGGATGTATAGCATATAAAATTCGTGGTTGTATATGTTCATAGAACAATGGATAGACAAGATTACCAGGTTTAAACTTTTAGCAGTTATGCATCAATACTTTTTTTGATATCAAGATAGCTTCTTCAGAGAGTTCTAAGGCTAAGTGCTGCACAAATAAAATACATATTATTGCCCTAAACTATGTACAAAGATAAAAATACACTTTCAAAATGTCAGTAAAATAAATATTATACACCTTCTCCTGATGTAATGACTGGGGCTGTGAACATGTATGAGTAAAAGATAAAAATTATCAGGTGTTCCTCAAGTGATCTGTAACTGTGGGAACACTTGAGCTTGCTTGTTTATTCTGCTTTTCATTCTAACACATGCAAGTGGCAAAGCTTGAAGCGAGGGCACCTGACTAACAATTTTTATTGTTCGACAATTTTTAGGTTTTGGGGGCTATTTTTAAGATTCTCCAAGTTCTAGAACATTCACATTAGTGGTAGAGGTGACTATAGCTATGATGATCTAGCATGGTTTTGTAACAGATTCTCATTTTCAGTTTTTTACACCTTTGCAAAACTGAAACTATTAGGCTGGTATTTTTATCACAAAATTGTACTGAATATTTGGAAAATAAAACTTTAAGTTAAATTAGTTTACCTATTTATCTCACTGTGGTATCTTCTTAAATTATATTTAAGAACATATGAAGAAAAGAAGATAAAGTTGGAAATTTCTAGTCTGTTGCAGAGAAACTTGAAACTTGCCAAGGAAGTCTTCCTGAGCAATGTTTGTCTTTTAGCTTCTTTGTGAAAACTTGACAGCTTCTTAGCTGTAACAAAATCCCATTATATCTACTGAGCTTGGTGGAGATAGCTAAATTAATTATAGTTTTGAATTACATGCAAGCTGAACGGGAGACCATAATAAACATTGCACTATATTGGACAAATTGTCCATCTAACCCTATATCCTATTCCTCACAGTGACCAATATTAATTAAGGTGGTTGTTTGCAGCACCAGGAAGGTGTAACTTGACAGGTTAAAGGAACAATTGAAAGTGTGACCTGCTTTTTGTCTCCTGTCCTTAGTGTGATCAATTTGCTTTCAAGATATTTTTTTTTGTTGCTGTTGCTTAATCGGATTATACATTGAAAGCTTCTACACAAAATTACTAAAAGGTTGGCATTTTAGTTGTTTATCTATTCATTAATCATTTTTAATTAAAGGAAAAAAAAAAGACACATACATCTCATAAACAGTAGCTGTAATCTCCTAGCAACAACAATGCTATTAAGATGTAATTTTTTCTTTTCCTTTTTTAAAAATCATTACTATTTTAAATATCCTTGACTCTTCAGAGTGTCTGAATTTAAATGTTACTTTGTCATAGATTGAGATCTTAAGAGGTTGATTTCCTTGATCACAGCAAGATAATGTTAACTTATAAAATAGATAACACTCAAAATGTTTCTAATAAATAGTGCGTAGAAGAAAATATTCCTAAATATTCACAGAAAATCATGAATTCAAAGAGGTTTTGTAATAAATAGGAAAATTGCTTCCCAAGCATAATTTTTTTATGAGTCAAGATTCAGAACAATAAAGCTACTGATACACATAATATTATCAATAAAACTCAGCTTTTATGACAGTCATCAACATAGCACTCTTTCGTTTCACCCCTCATTTCTCTCTGGTATGTTGGTAGAGATGTAAAAGAAAATAAGAGAACAGCCCTCTGTAATATTGGAAGGTAAGAAAAAAACAATGTAAAATTACTATTGTATAGTTATCCTTTCAAAGGAAATTTTTGAAGACACAGCTTTATGGCTTCTGCTTTGAAAATAATTTCCTTTTTTTTATATTGCATATCTGACTACACCTAGGTGACAAATTTCTTTTCAGCTATTCTTGAAATACACTAATGAACTAAAATATTTCAAGTGTTCACTCTCTTAAAAAATGAGTGAAAAAAACAAACTTAAAAAAAATTAAAATTGTGTCTTTAGTTTTTTCAAGAACATATTTGTACCTATAAACATCCCCTTGATGTCAGAGTTAATCCCTTGAATGGGATTAGCCACACCTAGAATTAGTAATCTAAAAGTTAGTGAGTATTATTGTAAATTAATGTAAACAGTAAGGTTCTTTGTAATAAAGTGTCACAAATAATACTTTCCCAACACAATCTATTCTGCTTGTTTTGCATGTATTTTAGTACAAGCTGCATGGATAATTTCTGACCACTGACTGTAAGGATGCCTAGATGAGTATCTCAGACTGGATGCTAAAAGCCAAAGCTATCACCAGACAGCTGAAATGTTCCATAATAGATTTGCTTCTGTTTCACTTCTAAAAGACAAATTTAAAAGCAGCAAAATATTTTATTTAAATGATTTAAATATTTAATCAAAACAAAAAAAAATTGTAATCTCTTCCCACTTTCCTCTCAAAAACAAAAGCCAGAAACCATATTAATTGAGAAAAAAAAGAAGAAAATGGTTTAATCCAAAAATCAAATTATTTTATATTTCAGCAGTGACCTAAAGAAAATAAATCAATTGTTCAGAGAAACGTAGCTCTACCCTTTAATCTCTTTAGATTTTGAGAAATCCACCATAAAAGGGAGCTGTGACTCCAAGTCCTCAGACAAAAAGCCTTATATTTTCACCTGATCTCTTTTTCACTGTGTTTTGGTTTTGCTTTACCTTTAATTGACCTTCCATGGTTAGAATGAAAGCACACAAGTTATTGAGTCAGTCTTCAATAACTTGAACTTTCATGAAGAGTGTTATGGGGAAGGAAAATGAAGAGTGTCAGAGGGAAGTGAAGTGGGTCCTTCAGCACTGACCTCAGCTACCCTCCTACAGCTATTTCCCATTTGTGGCTCTGGAGTCACAGAGTCACAGAATAGCTTGGGTTGGAAGGGACCTTTAAAGGTCATCTAGTCTGACCTCCTTGCAATGAGGAGGGACATCTTCAACTAGATCAGGCTACTTAGACCCCCATCCAACCTACTTAATAAGTGATGGCCTAATTCCTAAACAAAGTATTAAAAGCAAATCCGAAGTAAACTGTTTTCAAGTAACTTCTGTGGAAGTTATGACTCACTTATTGATTTTAAATATCTATGTAGTTTATGGAATAACTATGGAGTAAATATTTATGTTGCTTAAATAGAAGTCTTGCTGACAAAGCAGAGGTCTATTGCACCCATAAAGTCAAAACAGATTGAGAAGGGCATATTTGGTATTTGTTTGCACAGAATCAAACATAAGCACACTAAAATGACTAAACAGCAACTCTATAACTATTTGTGAGATTGTACATTTTGTAATGCTACTAATGGTATAACCAGCAACAATGTCTGAGCATGTGGACACAGCTAACTGTACATGCAAAAGTAACATGTAACTGCAAAAGGCAAAAGGAGATTTTTGTGATGTAATTACATAAATGAGGCATAACTAAAATCATGTACAAGGCATAAACTCCACGAGATACTAACAGTGGATGTAGAACAGGCAGGAAATATGCCTGGGAAAATTAACAAATCCTGCTCCTGAAAGTAAGATAATCTATGTTGGGAGCAGATGAGATTCACCCTTTCTTTTGGTGAGGTTCTAAGGATCATAAAAATACCCTGGATGCATGAGAAAAAAGAGGAAGAAAGATTATTCTTGACTCTGGCCCCAGCTTACCTCATCAAAGAGATCTCAGAATTGGTCCTCAGACTTGGCTGCAGCCATCCCTGCTGACTACATGGCATCAGCTCTGTGGTATTGAACACACACAGATGTTAGAGACGGTTATTAAGGACCATTTGAATATGCAATAATTAAAACTAATAAAGTGTAAGAAATTATCATTTGAAAATGTGTGTTGCTAATGAATGCCAGTCTAGTAAAACACTACTTTGATGCTGGCCTGATTTCTGTCTTTTAATTACTCCCATCACAGTCATCCAAATCCCCCATATACACGTACATCTACATCTGTGCACACACACACACATATACTCAGTAGCAAGAGTCTTATGTGAAATTACTTCTTAGTTTCTGTATATTTTACATAATAATTTAAAGATGATAACGTCCATATTCGTCCAAGCTAGGGTTTTGAGGGCTGAATCCTGAACTTCAGTATGTATCCATCCCCTCTAGATATAGGGATCATTCATTAGCCACCACAGCAGCAATGCTGATTTGATCCTCTCATCAGGTCAGTGAGGACAGAATTCTTTGTGGACCGCAATATGAACTAGATCAATAAAATGATCTTGGTTAAATAAAAAGCCTCAAGAAGCTAAAACTAATGGCTGGAGGCTAGTGAAGGCAGTAAGAAAATTCTCAGATCAGCTTTGCCAATAGAGAAATAATTGAAAAAAAAAAAAAATACATCCTGAGTCACCACTGCAATACTCTAGCTTTACATCAGAATAATATATTTAAAATCATTTGGGATCCTGTGATGTAAAATTGAGTAGTACAATGATTAATCGGGTCACCAACCTCTTCTCCCTTATTTCTCTAAAATGTTATTTAATTAAAACTAAAATGCCATGTGGGATTGGTCCCAGGGTATGGTTTCTAGGCACTGCACAAATAGGAAGGAGGTATTATTTTACTGTTAATAATGCTTCATGTATTCAGTCTTCCCGCAGTTTGCTGATGCCCAGTAATTCTCCTTTTAATGTGTAGACACCACTGGATGTTCTCCGAATGGATAGTTTCAGAAAGCTTTTCAGAAACTTTCTACCAGAGAATTCCAATTCAAGTTAACCAATGGAAAGGAAAAATAATTTTGACAAAATACAATTTTGAAAAAAACATGTAATTATGGAAGACAATGAAAGGTATAAAATTCTGATTTTCTGGTATCCATTCTGACTTTCTGTGATTTGTGTTATATGAGAAATCAAAAATAACAAAACATTTCACACTTTAATCAACTCAAATGGTTTGTTTCAAGTTTCTATTTTGAACTACACTGAAAATTATCAATTAGGTTTGCATCTTTACCTGGTTGGTTTTGTTTTCATTTTCATTTTGTTTTGTAGCAGAAAAAGGAACTGACAAACTTCTTGAAAATAAAAACACTTCTTCACAGTTCTCATGCTTAAATGGAGGGAAGGGCTATTTTTTTTTTCTGGCATGTTTCTTAAATGAGAGGTACTTCGTGTTTCAAATGATTTATTATTTGTCTCTGAATTCCGTGTGTTTTTTAAAGTCTGAAGTCTGAGCCAGAAAAAGACTGAGGGAAGAAAACATTCATTTTCCCCGGTTAAAATAATTCAATTACAGTGAATTAAGATGTGAATTAATAAGAAAACCAAGGCTTGGTATTACTGTCACACCACATAACTACATTTGGCCTCCAGAAAGAAACTGACTGGCATATGAAACCTTTGATGCATAAAATCAAGTCTGAGAAAGGAGGGGAAGGAGGCAGGAGCTTTTCTTCTGGAACAGGCTTATTCTTATAAATCAGTAGTTCTGCATCTCTAAAATACTGGGTAGGAGGCAGGGCTGGGCCTTCTGAGACTTGGGTCTATTTCTAGTTGCTATCAGCGGTTTGACATGTGACCTTCGCAAGGTCAGTGCTTCTGTTTTCCGATTTGTTGAGCAAATAAAATTATACTGTATTCCATTGTAAAGGCTTCTGAGATGGGTTGATAAAAAAAGAAGAACAAGGTATTAGTCTTACCTAAGATTTGACTTTTCACGTTGCACCCATCAGTGACGGTGATAATTACCTCAGTCACCATGTTTGTTCATCACAGATTTCAAAGCACCTTTGGGCTGTATAATTCCTTCTGCTTCCTCAGACTGGGAAATTGAGGCACAGGAAAGACAGATCAGTTGCTCAGAGTCATGTCAGCAAACTACTGGTGGAGGAATGAACAGAACAGGTTCATTTCCCTCAGTGGCATATTCTGCACTCTAAGAAGCATTATTAAACAAAGGAAATATGTTGTCTCATCTGCTTTTGTCCATTTAAATGATCCTTATGTTGCTCTGAGACTGTGCCATGAAAATTGATAAGAAAAGAATTAATTATTGAAAACACATTATAGATCTATTATTCAATTTTACATGATTCAGTGGGATTACTTGTGTAAGCAATAGGTTGAAATTTTGGACATATTTTTTTTCTTTTTTTGGTTGAGAAAGATACTTTTTAGTGCCTTGTATAGATCTAAATAATATTGTGGTTTGTGTTGCATGAGTTAACTTGTGCTCTTCCTGTCCTGTCATATGAGTTTTAATAAGAGTTTGAACATATTTTTTAACTAACTTTAAATTGTATGAATGCAGTTTACAAAGCTACCTCAGTCAGTTAAATATGTTGCAGAGTGACCAGCTATTTCAACCTTTTGCTTGTTTGCAGTCTCTAATCTTTCAGGAAAGAATGAAATAAGCAAGCAATCAAACTACTAAAAGGTCACATTAGTAAAAGTGCAGTACGGTATTGTGTATTGATCACATTACACAAGAGTCAAGTCTTGCAGGAAGTTGAGAATTGTTGTAACAAGTATTTAAAAAAATAATGTTGGTATCTATTAAAAAAAAAATTGTGCTGAGGTTAGGATATGGTGCAAATGTTAACACTTCTTAATAAAGGTTATAACATTATACTAGTATTTTCCCTGCTAGAGCTGACCAAAAGAACAAATATTTCTCACATCTCCAGTTAATTTCACTGTAATATTTTTCCCCAGACTAAATGTATGTCTTTTATCAAAAGAAAAGAAAATAATTAAAAAATCTGTGTGCTTCAGTGCTGCAGTGCTGAATACTGCAACGCCAAATTTAGGAAGCAGAAGCCTGGGGTGAAACCCCGGTCCCCAAGTCAGACAAGCAACCATCTCACATACTGCGCTAGGAAAGGCAAAAATCAGACCTTCGCATCAGGATCGAGAGCATCAAAGATGCAGCTTGGAGGACACTTCAGTGAAATGCTGAGGTGGAATCTCAGTTCACGTTCTGGGGTCATGGCTGCAGCAAAACCATTTCCCTCCATCTGGGCACCACAACTTGAAATTCTCTCTTTAAAACAGATAACCCACTGCTGTTGTATCAAACTTTTAAAGTAAGCGTGTGTGTGTGTGTGTGTGTCTATAGTTTTGGGACAAGAGGAATAAAAGGAGGTGGATGACTCAGCTCCCTATATCTCTCTTTCTAACCAACAGCATAGTGGGCAGAATGTACTTTCGTGATGGAGACATGGAGTGAATTCACTGCTAACTTGGAAGGGGCTTAAGTCTGTCCCTTGACCTCCCAGCAGTACCCTTTATTATTTGATAACATGACACTCCAGAAGGCTATGCTGGACACTAAAGGCTGCAGGGGCCAGGGTGGGGAGCGGGGAGGGAAACAAAAAAATTGAAAGGAACAGAGAAAGAAAGATAAAATATAAATGTCTACGTGACTCCAGTCCTTCACCAAACAGCTATTCTGGATACTCTCCCCAGTAAGGACAGTAGTTCTGTGGCTCAGTCCTGTCCTAAGAACTGCTCAGGTATTTTAATGATTTTGATGCAAGCAATCACAGTGGAAACTGGGTCAGAAACTCAGATCGATACATATAGTTTAAATAAGAAATTCTGGTCACGACCTTGGCCTGGCCTACTCCCTAAATACACCTCTTGCTTCCACATCATCAGAATTTCAAAGTGAAATGTCTACCTGGTTTTTATAGAAGACTACACTCAGGCTGGATGCACAGTCTATCCACCTTGGTGACTTCTGTTCACTTTTCTGACACCTAGTGTTTGAAGCTTTTAAGACTAACCCTGTGACCTATTCAGGACAATGTTTCCAACACAAAATTATTGTAAGGTCTGATGGATATGTATACTGGGGAAAAAAAAAGTCTATAGGTTTTGCTACCGGCTCCGCAGTCTAAACATCTGATGTGTAAGATCTAGTAGGTCAAGATCAGTCTCATAAGAAAGCACAACGTAAGCAAGTCTTCCCTGTGCTATGGACACCTGGTGGGTGCTGTAAGCAATAGCTTGTAAACTCATGCTCTCCCACTGCCTTTCTCTGGTTCAAGGGTTCTCAAAATTATTTTTCTTGTCAAGTAGAACAGCTGCAGCAAGAGGGCTGGTAGCCTGGTGGTTGAGAGTATGAGCCAAGAAAGAGGAACATGTGGGCTGGCTCTTACACTCTAAAAGACAGAGAATTTTTATTTTCTCATCCTGAGCCAGTCTCCTACCCACTAGACAGAAGTATGCAAACCACTTTTTAACTTTCTTTTCTTTTCTTTTCTTTTTTTTTTTTTTTTTTTTTTGGGCCCCCCCGGCTCCCCCGCCGCGCTCCTCGCCCCCTCCGGCGGGGCAGTGCCCTCACGGCCTCTACCTTCTCCTCAGCTTCCGCCATGGCGCGCCCGGGGAGCCGTCATGTGAGGGGCAGGAAGCCGGCGAGGGCAGAGGCACCCTGGGAAATGTAGTTTCGGGGGGTGTGGCGTCCTACCCTTTTTACCTTTTTTTTTTTTTTTTTTTTTTTTTTTTTTTTTTTTTTTTAATCATCATCATCCGCCACTGCATCATTTTGCAAAGCTCCATCTGGTGAACATATCACAGGGAGATTTGGAACACGCTCACACATCACTGCCCTCAGGAAAATGCAGAAAAATATCTAGTTTCAGAAACCTTGTTAGGCCTAAATACAATTTAGGTAGAAATTAGTAGTTCTGTGAAGACTGGCCTGTGAAACATGCTAAGATAGAAAATTCTGGGAGAAGATCCTTGTATTAGTTTAACCCCTCCTACCTTTAGTTATAACCAGATAGTCTGCACTGGTTCAAAGTCATTGTATGCATTGGGAAGCATAGTTTCTGCAACAGTTGCATCAATGTAGAGAGGCCCTTATGTCAACTTTCACTCCCAGCAAAGCCAAAGCCTGAATAAGCCCATAACTTCAAGTGAAATAATGATCCTATGACTTTTCTATTTACTGAGTCCATCATAATTTGTAATGCACGTACATACACACACACACCTTTATACATATGTATATATAAGTGTGTATGCATGTATAGACAGACAGAGCACCACAACTACAATGCAGGATGTCTTTATTGTGCTTCTATCTCTTAGAGAAATAATGAAGGTGATTTTACAGCACATAGCACAAGTATTGCAAGAAGGGTATCTACAGTAATATATTTTTATTCTGTAGAAAATTTGAAAATGCCCTGAGTTCTGTTTTGCAAGATCTACAATGTTAGATGAGGTAACTAGTTTTTTAATATGTTCCAATATAGCACAAATACACCCTTAACCAGTGTTACTTGCATAGTCATAGCAACAGGGAGATAGGAGATTACCAAGTGGGAAAATGTAAAAGTATCCCAGTACCTTTTCCTATTTCAAGGCATTTTCCATATTAGGAGCAAACCCATTTCTATGCAAAGAGCAACTATGATACCCAAGCCAATTTGCTTGTGTTGGTTAAATATGGGACTTTACACCCAGAAGACAGGTATAAGTAGGAAGCTCATTGTCTTAAGCTTCTAGAAGTTGCAGAGGCAAAGAGGAGGTAAAAGACATCAGATAAGGAAAGGAATCAAGGGAAATAGACTTGGGTGCTCTTTGCCCTCTCTGATCTACTGGATAACTTGCAGGGGATAATGTAAGCTCTGGTTATTCAACCTGTGTATGGATTGTAAACTGGGATGCATATGCTGAAATTTAAAAACCCAGATTCATTGACACTTCAGTGCTGCTTGATCTCTCACTTTACTACACTCTCAAAATAAGAGAGTAGGAAATTTCAGTCAGAGAGATCCTAACGAACCTGAGCAGGAGTAGGTATTTCCTTAAAACACTTAGAGGCAGGCCTCTTTTCCTAAGGTACATGTTTCCAAACTTAATTCAAAAAAATGAGGAAATCTGAAAATTTAGGATTATGACACTGAGTAACGATAGATCAATTTCCCGGCCCTCACACACCTTTCCTGTGTAACTTGACTTACAGCACCAAAACCACAACGTCAAATCTAAAACAGATGATGCCTCTTTTCTTCCTCTGTGACTTGTCTTCTAGATGCTAATCTTTGCATGGCAGATGCTCTCTCAATACATATATGAGACATAAATTTCTCAATATAATTCCAAAGTATACAGCTGAAAACATAATGGGTTCCTTGTCTAAATACTCTTTTTGGAAGTTACTTAACACCCATAAATACTTTCACATCCTCTGGCCAATTTTTTACCCTTTTTTTTTTTTTCCCCTTTGGAATTCTAAGGCTCCAGATGGCTTCCACTAGTTCCCACCTCTCAGTAGATCCCTTGGAAGAAGCAGGCTATTTGTCCTTCATGCAGGTCATTTTCTCCTTCCTCTTATCTGGTTCTTATTTATTTATTTAATATCTTGTTAATGTTCAGCTCCTCTGGTTGCCTTTTGATTGTTTTTACGGTGCCTGAGCAATTTTAATAACACAAAGGCAAAGATGCTCAGGAGCTTTTTTTCTAAGGCAAGAGGAGAACAAGCTCTTTAGTCCTCCTGCCCCACATCCCACTGAGCGTTCACCAGGCTGCAGATTTTCAGCCGTTCTTCCCCTGAGCTTTTACTCACGGAGATCTCGTCACTGCTGCTGACACATGGTGAGTGGGTCCCCTACCCCAATCCTACCCGCCCCTCGCCCCTTCCCCTGACTCTCCCGCCTGCCTCCATGGAGTTTCCTGTGGGCTTCCCTGCCTCCGTTTCCCGTTGCACTTCGAGGCTGCAATTTGTGATCCACGGCAGGTTTCCAGGCAGCCTAGCACCGCCCCTCCTCCCCCCACCCCCGACTTCACCGAGGGACAAAGTCAAAGAAACCGTCAGGAGAAATGAACTAATGCGCCTCAACGTGGCGCCAAGTTTCCTTTCTCTCTTTTTTTCCTAATGAAACCACTAATATATTTCTTGTGGTGCTTTCTGTCTCAGTGGCATTTTATCTCTTCTGGCCCGTTTGTAATTTATGGGGCAGGCTTTTCCAGGGCCAGGATTTCTCTCTTTTTCGTTTGTTTCGTTTCCTTCTCCTGTCCCATTTCCCGCCCCCGCCTCCCCCCTCCCTTCCTAGTCCCTGTCTACCGTAACGAACCCAAAAGCCAGATCTTCATCCTGGGGAACCGAAATGGCCATAGCAACTGTTGTAATTTGTCAATGGTGTAATTACATTAATTTGATAAGATCATCGTCGGCAGAATGTCTAATTTACTTGCAAGCGGCAGCCAGGGAAAAGCTTTGACCAAATTAGCATGCCGCCGAGACCAGGGGGTGCAGGCTCCATATGGCTCCCTGACTTTCCCTATAAATAACCCTCCTCCAGCCCACCCCCGCGGTTACATCCCCCCCTACCAGTATGCCGCAACGTTCACCAGCGGCGCCGGACGGGAGAGGTACAGCCCCGGGCTGCAGGAGGCCCCCGACGGCCAGCTGCCTCTGCCTCTCCCTCTCCCGCCCCTGCCTCCTCAGCCACCTCCTCCTCCTCCTTCTTCTCCTCCTCCTCCTCCTCCTCCTCCTCCTCCTCCTCCGCGCGATTTGACAAGGCAGGGGGAAACGCGGGTTTCCACTTGCACCACCAGAGGTGCAACTGGTTCTTCGCTCGTAGGCATCTGAAACCCATCCAAATGATGCAGAAACTTTTGTATGCTTGGCTCCTTTCTTTAAGGCCAGGCACTGATTTTTCCGCTGTGTAATCTCTTTTGTCAGAAGGGTGGGAGCTGGAAAAGGCGGCAGGGGGTGGGGTGGACGAGGAGGGGATTTGAGGGAGGGGGGCGAGGGAAGCAGGCGTTGTATTTCCACGGAGAGGATATTAGGACCATCCCTAGAGAAATATCTAGTCATATACATAAGTGCATCTCTAATTTTTATATATAGATAAGAATGTCAAGATGCACAACTGTCAGTTTCATCCCTCTCCTCCCCTCCTTAAGGGAGACACTATATTCTGTGGGAACAGGTGGCGTGAATTGCTAACAGTGCAGCAATCCCCTCCTCCCTACTCCCTTCTTCTCTGTGATCATTTAAATTATAAAATATATCTATATTTATAATGCAATAATGCACGATTCAACACTGCATAGAGAACGCCAGCAAGAGACCAAACCCAGCATGAAACACTATAGACTGCAGGGGAGGAAGAAATGCGTTTAAAGCAACGATAAAAATGGCGTGCAGAATAATTACCTCAAATTGCTATTCGCTTGACACCCTGACACTAATTCTGTTCAAGCCATTGGGAAATACAATAAGGCAAATGCACCTTCCTCGCCTGCTTGTGCAGGTGTTAGTGTGCGAATAGGGGCAATAGGGAACTGGTCGGGAGGAGGGGAATGCTAAACTTTCCATCTTAAAAGAAAAGAAATTAATTAAATAATCCATTTAGGAGAAAGCATCTAAATAGACCGACAGCTTTTAATGCCAACGTTTTTAACGCTTGCCCGGTACATGGATTGATTTTTTTTTTTTTTTTTTATTCCCTCAGCAGATGGATTTTTGCCACTGCAGCTCAGCAGAGGGTGTCAGATCTTTCAGAGTGCACCAGGTTGAAACGAGCAGAGCCTCTTAGCAACTCTCCCTCTGCGTGCATGTGAGTGTGTGCGAGCGTGCGACTCGGCAGCAGCGGAAGAAAAAGGAAAGAAGAGCGAGCGGGGGAGCGAGCGAGAGAGCGAGCGGGCGAGGAGGGGAGGCAGCGCGGCCGGCAGGGCGAGGCGAGGCGCGGTGCGGTGCGG